GATATTGTATATGTCAAGTTAGTTGTAGGTTTATGCCCAGAAAACGTTTGAAGTCAGTTGTAGGTTTATGCTTAGAAAACATTTGGTTATATATGTGATACTATGAATTACATTTTGAAATTTACATAATGAACATTGTTGTATTTCAATAAATTGACTACACATCCGAAATTAAAACTAATAACGTTGCCATATTAATATACTTTTATGAAATAATCATACTCAATAATATATTAAGTACACATAGTATATTCATATTAAGTATACCAATAATTTTAAACCAATACCCCAATGTACAAACTTAAAGTTTCCATTCAACATGGCATGTTAAAAACATTATAACAATTTGTTCCTCATATATTTACATTCAACCAACAATGTCTAACCTTAAGGTTTATCAACATTGATAAATGATAATACATACTCACACCATTCTTTACAGACTTCATCCAGTTCCTCTTTCATGAAGCTTTCTTTACTCTCCCACTAAAAGAATATCAGAAGTAAATGTTAATAAATGAGAACATAATGTATCTTTTTATTTTTTTAAAGACATAACGAGTTTATGAAATTTATACTAACCTTGAATGGTGTGGTCGTAAAATCATGTAACACTATCTCCCACATAAAACAAAGGACATATTATCCACATTCATATTACCGGGTTGACGAGGTACCTAACAATTAAATTGAGTGAGTTTAAGAAACATTTATCTACATAAACTCAGCATAAAAGAATAAATTTTATATTTACCGGTAATTACATCCATTTTGGTTTCTTTATCTTCTTATCGAATGCAAATATTATCATAAATTGAAAAGAAAAAAATTACTTAATACATAAATAAAATTACTTATGAAGAAACAAAAGATATATAATATAATAAAGTGTAATACCTTTTTATAAAAGTTTGAATATCGGGGTTAGGCATCGTCGTTGGATTAACTGAATTAAGTAAGTATGGCATTAAAGATTTGGTGTCAATCACAATAAACACCCAATGACGATTGTAAAATAATAGCAATGATATACTCAAATTATGCATCAGATCAGATTTGGGTAAGGTTGGAATATAATTTACTGTGCATTATACGGGAGCAAATAATAATTAGTCGATCTTTTCATGCATTGGATCATATGATTAGCACGATAAGCGATTGTGCTACTCTGCTCACTAATGAAATTGGGGTCAATGAATCTAAATTTGTTGGTCAACTGTCTGCCATTGAGCTTTCTATATAGGAAGCTGGACGATAACAATCAACACTGCTAGTTAGTATTACACCCTAATATAGATTACTACATATTGAATGTGCATATTTGTATTATAAGCTAACCTCATATAAGCAACAATATCAACAGCTAATAATTCATCCAGTTCACAAAATTCTTTAACCTCCTCCACACCAATGAAAAAAATGATGGTTTATCAAATAACCCTTCCTTAAGCTCAATGGTTATGAAGTTTCCTCCGAATAAATGCTCCAGCAAATATTTGGATAACTCATCCATAGTAGCCTGAGCAAGGGTCATACTGTGAATCCCAACATCCTACTACAATAATTAATGAAATATAAGTATTAAAACCAAATCAATAAATATAATAAACAAATTAATATTAAAATTATAAACAAAATTATACTTCTTAAGTGGTAGCGGAGGATGGGTTCACTTTCTTACTTGCAACAAAAGCTTCTCTTACATGGACGATACTATTAAACCGACCTACTGGCATGTTATGCTATTGCTCATTGAGGCATTACTCCTAGTCATCTATTTGTTGCTGTTGTTGCTCAATGATAGGATTCTTTGCTATACTTATGGTAGCTTTGTTGTCGTAGAGTATCTTCATGGATTTTTTTACTGACCTTTAACTTTCCTAGCAACCTTTTTAGCTAAATTTCCTCATTTATGCCATGAGACATAGCTCTAAACTCAGCTTCTGTGCTACTTCTAGCCACTACAGATTGTTTCTTGCTTCACCAAGTAACCAAATTTCCCTACACATAGGTATAATAACAAGTAGTTGATCTTTGATCAGTAATGGATCCAACCCAATTAGCATTAGTGTAAATTTCAACATTTTGGCATGATGTCTTCTAAAAAAAAATCCTTTGCCATGACTTTTCTTTAGGTACTGTAAGATTCGATATATAGCCCTCAAGTGTTTTTTGGTTTGGTTGTTCATGAATCTGCTTACCATGCTAATCAAAACATTGATAACTAGTCTTGTATGAGAGAGGGAGATGAATTTCCCTACAAGTCTTTAATATTTGCCCTTATTTATTGGTAGACTTCCTTTTCTATTCCTACCTTATTCATTGTGTTTATAAGGGTGTCAGTAGGTTTGCATCCAAGCATTCCAGTTTCCTTTAGTAAATCTAAGACATACTTACACTGTGAAACAAAGATACCATTCCTTGAGCAAGCTACCTCCATGCAAAAAAAATATTTAAGGTGTCCCAAATCTTTGAAATCTAATTCTTTGGCTAGGATGTTCTTTAGGTTTCTAATTTCTTGCACATAGTCTCTAGTAAGAATAATGTCATCCACACAGACAATAAGAATGGCTATTTTTCCTTTAGGTGAATATTTGACAAACATGGTGTGATTGGTCTAGCATTGTGAAAAATCATACTTCTTTACCACTTTTGTTAGTTTATCAAACCATGCACATGGGATTGTTTGAGATCATATAAAGACTTTTAAAGTTTACATACATTACCAGAATTGTCCTAGATTTTTAATCCTACAGGGATTTTCATGCAAATTCTTCTTCTAGGTCACCATTAAGAAATGCATTTTTGACATCTAGTTAGTGGAATGGCCAATCTAAATTTGCTGCCAATGATAATAACAATGGATGGAATTAAGTTTAGCAACCAAAGCAAATGTCGCCTCATAGTCAACACCATAAGATTGTGTAATCCTTTTGTAACAAGGTGAGCATTGAATCTATTAATACTTCCTTCTGCATTGTACTTAATAGTAAAAATCCATTTACATGCAACTTGATTTTCCCTTTAGGTAGTTTTCCCATATTTTGCTCTTTTCCAGGGCTCTAATTTCTTCCAAAATAGCTATCTTCTATTTTGGTTGCATGAGTGCTTCATGAATATTATTGAGAATTTGCATATTGTTTAGTGTGGTAACAAAAGCTTGATAATTAAGTGATAAACCTTCATAAGAAACCACATTATAGATTGGGTGTTGAGTACATAATCTCACACATTTCTTTAAAGCAATTGATTGATCAAGATCATCAAAGATTCAATTGAATCAAATTCAGTAAAAGTGTATATTCTCTTATATCCTTCTGAGTTTTATGTCTTCTTAAATAGACAATCAATTATTTGTTTGTTTTCTCTTGTATGGACTCCAAGCTTAGAGTATCTGGTTAGATGTTTTGGACTTGAAAAGGAGTTAGAAGATCTGGTTGGATGTTTTGGACTTGAAAGGGAGTTAGAGGATCTAGTTGGATACTTTGGATGTGAATGAGAATTTTAGAAGTGCTTGGTGGTTTGGTAATAGGATCTTCCTAAAGCTGATATTTCCATGTGATTGGATTCTCCCTCTAGATGGATGTTTTGCAAAAGTAAGGTTGATTTTCAAAAAAAATTAACTTTCATGGAATGGTAGAATTTCTTTGTTACTATTGAGTAACACTTGTATCCTTTTTTATTCGGGGAGTATCCGAGAAATATGTATTTGATGGATTTGGGATCTAATTTGCTTTGGTTTTGTTGGCTGGTAAAAACAAATGTAGTGCATCCAAACACTTTAATGGGAATAGATAAGATGATTTGAAGGTGAGGATAGGAATCAAGAAGGGATTAACAAAAGCTTTGAAATTTCAGGACTAGAAAAAGCATTCTGTTTGTAAAATATGTAACAGTAAGAACAGCCTCACCCCAAAAATGCTTAGGTACATGGGCAGCCATCATGAGGGTCCTTGTAACTTCCAACAAATGCCGATTCTTTCTTTTAGCAATACCATTCTGCTGAAGAGTATTGGCACATGAGCTTTGATGAATTATACCTTGCGTCATTGATATGATCTAAGTATTGAATTGTAGTATTCTCTCCCATTGTTGTTCTCAACACTTGGATTTTCGTTTTGAATTGAGTTTAGATCATATTGTTGAAGTTTTGGAATGGTTGGCCAACTTTTTATTTTTCTTCATAAGTAATACCCAAGTAATCTTGGTGTGATTATCAATAAATGTGACAAAACCATTTGAAGCCAATAATATTATTTACTCTAAAGAGACCCCAAATGTCATTGTGTATTATTGAAAAAAGATAAGATAATTTGCAATACTCATTAAGATATGTTATACAAGTATGTTTGAATAATTGACAAACTTCACACTGAAAATGGTTAGAATTTTTATTGAATAATCAAGGAAACAACCTTTTAAGGTATAAAAGATTTGAATGACCTAACCGATAGTGGCACAACATGATAGTACTATCTTTATTATTACTAAAAAATAAAGCCACCCAAGAGGTATAACAAAAGATATGATTATTAAATAGGTTATGCATAGAAACCCAGGAAAAAGGTCATTCAGTGCCATTGACATTGAGATTACTAAGAAAATAAGACATAGTGGTGCAATACATACGTACATATATATATATAATACACACACACACATACATGCATACATATATATGTATGTATGAATGTATATTACTAATATTTTCTTCTTCTTTCTGTTTTTCTACCTCAATTGGTTATATCAGAATTGCATATATGTGGGAATTAAACAGACGATTAAGTTTCATTTGGCCCTTCCAATGATACCCTGTCCTCAATGGCATACAACAACTTAGAAGCTGCAAGTTCTCTGAATTCAGTCCTAATAACTATAATCCAAAGCCTTATTCTGCTTCATGCAAAAAGCCATACTACCTGTAACAGGACTAGATTGAAATGAAAATACATTATGAAATAAAAATTGCAAAGCTATGGAATATCATGAAAAAAAATGAATGTAAAATATCAGGAAAAGGAATCTTGATAACACAAACCATTACACCTCACTACTTAATTTCTTGAAACAAGACACCGTGCAGTGAGCATATCGAAATACATGTCAACAAAGCAGGGATCATTGGTTTCAACAGAGCATTTTTAACAATTTTCTTTCCCCCTCTGCAACTCTATTCCCTAACTCATCTTTTTTAGTTGCCATATTTCCACCAGGAAGATGCCTCAATTTAATCTTCTTTCTTCTCAGGTCCATACTGACTGCTTTCAGCATCAGAGCTCTCATTACGAACAACCTCGTCACGGCTGCCAACCCTAAGAGGTTCATCGTCTTTACCAATACTTTGTATAAGCATCATCATTGCAACAATAAAGACAATTATGTAGACACTTCTGATGCCAATTAGTGAATTGATAAAGCCCATAAATGATGGCCCTTTAACTCTCTTCCTTTCTGTTCTTCCTTCTCTATATCCTTCCAAGAATCGTGAGATTTCAGAACCCCTGATCATCGCTATCAAGGCTTTCAATACCAATAACCTAGCATATAAACAAAATTTAGTAGGTCAGCTGATGCGTTTTAGTTTTAAAATGCCAAGAAAAATATATATGGTGAAACATCAAGGAAGAAACCACCAAGATCAACAATCATGCTTCCTGGATGAACATGATCAACCATCATAAAAGAAACCTCTTATTAGCTTTTCGAAACAATTTTAAGGATTCAAAAGATATAAGGATAATGAATTCAAGCAGAAGTCATTAAAGTTTGGAAGCAGAGGGCCAATAGTAAGCTCTATAATTTCGAGTCTGGAATTTGAAAGAAGACATTCAAGACAAGTAGAAGGTGTCATATTTTGTGTGGATGAAGCCCAGCTTCTACATACACATACATACATCTAGGTGTATGGTGCACAAGTGAATTTGTCACGGCATAGGAACAATTAATAATCTTAATTTTATGAATATATGAGATAAAAACAAGAATTCTTTTCATTCTATAATTTCATTTTATCATACATATAAAAGTTTGTATCACACTCGAGAATTTTTAGATTTTGACACTTTCCTGCTCTTTCTTTAATTATCCTGCTCACTTCCATTTTCTGATACTTAGGGACAGACCCAATACTGAATACAAGATGAAAAAAAAAAAAAAAGTTTTAATAACATTTAAAGAATTAGAAAAGTACTTAATAAGATACATATTGACTTATAGCAAGGCCTCTTTTCTCCATCAGGAAAAGATACTAGGTTAAAATGCTTTTGATGGTCCAGTACCGAAAGCATCAATTTCTTCAATAACTAGATAAAGTGGTAAAATTTTAAATTTATTTGTTAGAAGATAATTTAATTTTGCTAACTAAAGTTTAAGATTAATAAAATCATGTTTATCATCAAATAAATGAAGTATGGCTTGATGATTAAGGGTAAATAGTTTACCAATGCACACTAGGTTTTAGCATTTCTAACTGTAAAAAGTGAAGAAGTTTGCATTTGACATATATCCATGGATAATCCGCATATCAACATTCAAATTCTAGGATTTCTCCAAATAACACCCTAAAAGTGGGGGATTGAGCACCTAGGTTGAAAAGCATGGGAATTGATAGCCAAAAAGAAAACTCTAATATTGCCATGTATACTGTAATCTCTTTAAATAAGTTCTTAACAAGGCTGAACAATCTTTCTTTCAAGGATTAAAAGTCAAAAGTTTGCAGCTAAACATGTTATGAACAAGTCTATTCAAGAATGTATAGTAGTCGAGCTCACCCATGTTTGAGCTCAACTCATCTAATACATCATTTTGAAAAATTATACCCAAATTCGTTTGTTTGGCTCAATTAATAAACATGAACATAACAAAACTGAGCTTATTCTTGAGCTGTAATGCACCAGTTCTCTTACATTACTACCCAAAACCATCATGCATTCAGCATCAACATGATAATAACCCATTACTTTCACCTCAGTCTTTTCTTCTCCTCTTTTGTGCCACCATCATATGATCATTTCTCAAGTGATAATGGCTCCTTTTCTTTCTTTTATTTTCCTCCCTTCAAACTTAGGTTTAAGATCCTTCTCTCCTCAATCAACTTCTCTTAAACTTTCCTTGTTATCTTTCTACTCTCTACTTCACGTCAAGCACTGATGCTCTAAAATTGTTTCTCAGCAAATATACCAACTAAACTCCATTTCAATTAGAAATATTTATGATATGTTGCAGCTTATAAGAAACAAAAGGTACAAGTTCAACAGAGCAGGTAAACAGTCACTAATGTTGGCGATAGAGAACTAGAAACATTGGAAGAAAAAAGGTGCTACAAGGCAATGTAGTGATAGAGATTGGCATGGGACCTTTATTGTTATTATTATTATTATTTCTTTTTCCTTTATTCTATCAAGAATTTCTTTTCTCAAGAAGGTTGGATTGGAGCTTATTACCTTCAGGTTAGACTTGGATCAAGTTTTAGGCTTTAGGTTGAATCTAGTTGCAATTAAATTATTTAATATTTGTTTCAGACACCCTAAGTAGCAATTCAATAATTGTAACAGAAAATGGACTAAATTGATCCTAAATCAAAGAGTTTGAATACTTTGATTGAGAAAATTCAAAGTTATGGGACAAGATTTGACAAAATGAACTTGGTTGAAGGATCAATTTCAGCGTTTTTCCTTGCCAACAAGCATCAGTATCACTATGTTTTCTCAATATCCTGTAGCTAATGCTAACTAAGATAAGCATGATTAACGATCATCTGCTGGTATAACATTAAGATTGTCTGTTGCACTGATTATAAAATCTGCTAAAATCAAGAAGAAAACCAGAAACCAGCTATCATTAGAGGCACTAAATCTTGTGTTTAGAATTAAAGATATAATAATTAAAGAAATAGTACTTACAGAAAAGTAGTCCTCATCTCCATTCCAGACAATCATTTTTGGTAACTTTGTCTTCTCATTAGCCCCAAATTTATCAGCAAAGTCTTCCCACTGCTTAACGCCAACATAACCAAATACCAAGTCACGATTTGCAGATGCAGCAGCCTTAAGTAACTTGATTAAGTTCTGTGATTGGTCTTCATTCTCATCAGCTGTGATTGTCAGGACAATTTTCCTCTCCTCATCTTTCAATAGCTTCAATGTTTCATGGTTCAAGGGCACCACCAGAGGGAGCAGATTCTGTTTTATAAAATCCCCCAAAAATTCATCTGCATGATTGAAGCTGAAAGGTTAGATAGCTTTTTCTTTATGCAGCCAGAAAAAAATTTACAGATGATGAGCAAAATTAGAGAATCTGAGGACTTTTAGGAAGAAGAGAAGCACACAAACTATATACAGGACAGTAAGCATGTGAAGGCATAAAGTTGACAAAAAATGAGTATATACCACCTGAAAAAATCAAGATCATGCTGATTGTTTATGATATTGAACCACAGCTGCTCAGATAATGTTAAGTGAGAGAATGAGTTTGGCTGAAGTTTGAGATCATTTTCAACTAAACAAAAACAAGATTCAAAAGCAAATGAACCTTGACTCCAATTAACCTTCGTTTATGATTTATTTGATTCCATGGTGCTTGAGTTTGATACTATGTATTTAGTAGTCAATGTAGAAAGCATAAAAAAGATAGAGAAAAAGAAATGTTTCTTTGGATTTGTGTTTGACTGAAAGACCTGTCAACAATATAATAAGTTAAAGCTTCTGAGTCTACATTAAGTAGTGAAAATGAAAAGAATAAAATGCCACTCTCTGAGCATGACTTGACCATTAACGAAGCTCCTATTTACATAGATAACTAATGTTACTGGTCCAAGGATGGACTAGTCAAGCTCAACTTGTTATTAAACCATGAAAGAGTAATCATTTCAAATGGAAAATGTGCATGCAAAGCAGATGAAACAGGAGTCATACTCCTGGTAGGTAGTCGAAATACAAGTTAAATTTCAGGGTGACGTAATAATTTACGGTAATCTGCTAGCACATTCTTTCTTATATCATGTTGATTTAGAATACCTATGGATAATGCAAATAAAACTGAACCAAAACAAAAGATGCATGAACATGGGAATACACTACAGCTCAACAATATCTAGACTTAGGCATGACCAAATAAAAGCCACAGGCAAACAGATCCAAACAAATAAATCTAGGAGAAATTCACTGATGTGTTACAAACATCATTCTATCAGAAGCACTAACTAAAAGCATCATCTTACAGTACTGTAAAACAAATATTAGAGATCCAACTTGGCATGCAAGCTATGAATAGAAAGCACAGCTCCAACACTATAAACTTTTTTTATATCAGGCATTCACATATTCACAAAGGTTTATGAGAATTTAAATTTGCGCAATATCTTAATCTTATCTAAATGATTGAGATACCATTTTATCTTGTTATTTTACTCTTCTCAATTGAACAGAACCAAGTTAACTGAATTCTAGTCTAGTGGATTCAGCTATTTCAATTAACGTCATGTCATCATGTGCCAATTTTGGTTGTTCCTGACATGAGTGCTTTTGATTTTCTTAAGTTTTACCCTATATTTGGAGGGTCATACTCCAATAGTCCCCAACCAATTTGAGGTGTTGGTGTCAAATATAGTTCCAACATGGATGGTAACAACAACATTATTTTCCACTTTATGTTTCCTAACCACGTTCTTCATGTTCTCACATTTTGTCATGAATAGGTGCAACACCCCCTTCTCTTATGCACTCATTCATAATCCTCTTTCCTCGTTTGCTCACGCATCCATCATAGTTTTCTCATCTTAGCCACACTCATCGTAGCATTCTAATATTATGTTGTCATTTTTTTCCTTCAAGTTGTTTATCCTTAGGGTCCTAATCTCCTTAAATCACAAAAGATTCTTCTTCATTGTTATAATCAATGGGATGTTTTAAGTTAACTTTTTCCTTACATTTTACTAGGATCAGATTCTTCTCCCCATCCACATACCTAGACAACAATGTGACATGTAAAAAGCCATAAAAAAACCCCATGTATCCCGAATCTAATCCACCATACCACTTACTTCTTCGTATGAATATAATTTCCCTTCAGTCTAAATTTTTAATATGAACAAACATTCAACTGCACATAATTTTTGTCATACTTGCTTTTATTTTCACAACTCACACCATGAATATAATTATCAAGTTGCAGTTATCCTATCAAGTTGTCATCCCCAATTTGGTATCTCATATACAATTGTAGAATACTCCATTTACGTATTTCCAGTTTCACCTAAAGTCTGCCTAATTGCATTTTAAAAATTCTAAAATTACAATATAGGGCCAGGTAACTATACTAAATTCTTTAATAAACTAAATTTATTTTTTCCAACTGTTCCTAAATCTTATATAGGAAATACCAAATCAAGTTGCCCGTTTAGATATTAATGAAACCAATACCATATTGCATGTAAGTAATATTATATAAAACCCCAAAAAGATGAATTAGAACTCAACTACATTCTACCATTCCACCACAAAAACAAATTGCTATGGTGAAAACTCTAAGTACTCATATGCAAAAGAATAAAGAAATGGCTAAAGCAGTTGTTAATACCAAGGTGGATAATGCATGATAAAAGATAAGAGACTTGAAACACTGATAATAAACTAACCTTCAAAGGGGCCATAAAAAATGCTTTGCTGCTTATAACTTGGATGAAGAGCTACCAAAGCAGGAACTTTGTCAAAGTCGTACAACACCATGGCATCATCAGAGAAATCCTTTGCCACACAAAACCATGCCTTTTTCTTGTACTTTACAGCTAAATTAGATATCACTGTCTCATTCAAGCCAAAACCTATGTATATAGGAAAGAAAGTACCAGCTGCTTCAACAAAATCACGAATGGCAGTGTCTGAACTAAGAATAGTCACATCAGGAGCAACAAATTTCTTCAGATATTGAACAAGTAAGTCTGCTTTCCTTGGTCCGTAATACTCCATAGAAACGCCATGCATAAAGAGCTTGAGGGTAGGGTACGCACTGCAAAATCCAATTTTGATTATAAAACTTACAAAATGACAATGAAAACAGCCTACCCTATTGAAATAGATCATTCATGTATAAAAGGCATCAAGTGAAATGCATTGCATAAAATGGAAACAAATGCATGAAAATGAATAACCATGACTGTTTACCATGGATTTTTACTTCAAATCTATGCATTACCCCCAAAACAAAAAATTGCTGAAACATTTTCTAAGTTTTATTTAGATTGACAGCACAATATCAAGACATTTCTACAAGCTAAATGCATTAGGTAATAAATTTTGGAAATTTTATTTCTAATCCGCCATGTAAAACAAAAGGCATAGACACTTACTCAACATCATATTTACTAGCAACACGGGTAAACTTGTCAGCATTAATTTTGGCTATCACTATTGGCTCCTTCAATGCTGCAAGAACAGGAACAGCCTCATCTAACTGCAAAGCAGAACCAAAAAAACTAAGAAGCAAGTTTAAGTCATTGGAACAATAGTTATGGGAAATTAAAAAAAAAAAAAAACTTGTAGATAAAGCGAATCAAACCAATTCAACAAAACAAAAACGAAATGGTATCTAAAAAACTATACTTAATTTGGGTTCTCCAAATATTGGATAAAGAATATGAAACCTGGGGTGAAAGGCGTTTGCAGTGGCCGCACCAAGGGGCGTAGAAGTCAACGAGGATGTAATCGAATGAGGAAATAGCGGAGTCAAAGTTGGATTCGTCTAACTCCAACACTTTTCCATCTACCTTAAACTCATCTGCTTTCGAGCAAATTCCTGTTTTCGAGATGCATAAGAGCATCAACATGATTATGGGCAAACGCATGTTTGGAATTGGAGAGGCCGTTTTTCTTTCCGGTTTTTTTAAAGAAACAGCGCTTGCCTAGACTTTTTTTTTTTTTTTTCCCTCTTTGTAGATCAACGGAAACATAGTACTATATTTACAAAAATATATATATCTTTTTAATTTATTTTTTTAGAAAAGTGGAGGTGTATTGTTAGTTTGAAAGGTCAAAATAATACATTCTCTCTTCTTAATTACAAGGGGGAAAAAAGGCAAAATAATGATAAAAAAATAAATAAGAAATGCTTTATTAATTTTTATTTGTCTACCAGAAATGCAATATCAAGGAAACGTTTGAAACGGGTGATTGGTAACTAAATAAAATAAAGTTATTTTTAGTATTTAATTGCATGAATTTTATTTTGTTTTTGATAAAATAATTTGATTTTCACATTTAATTTGTTTAAATTTCTCATGTGTACAAAGATATAAAAATTTTACAAAAATGATTTTTGCAGCAATTTTAGTGAGATTTGGAGATAAATTGCGAGATTTGACTTATGAGTTTTGAAGATTTTTGCAAATTAAACTGGAACTGAATTATGGACAAGGCAGTGTTTGGATCAAGCAGGCAGATTTTAATTTCAGAATTTTAATGCAATTCCATATTATTATTTCATGTAGGTGCACATACATGAAATTATTTTGGATGAGTTGGCAGCTTACTAAGACTAAATTGGACACTCAAAGCTGATTTGGATGATGACATGGCAAGACAATTTAAATCCTGTTTTGAAGAGCCTAAAACCGAAACTTGCAAGACTCATATCTAATTAAAGTTGACGTGATCAATTGCAAGAACTTCCTGAATTGTGTTTACAAGTTAATTGATTCTGAGATTTGGGACAAAATTTGGAGGACAAGGATTCCGAACAAAGTTAGAACGTTTGCACGGAGATTGTGTCATGAGTTTTTGCTTGTTTACGCAAATTTAAAAACAAGGGGGTTACTGGACTCAGTTGTTGTCCAAGATGCAAGCAAACAGATGAATCAGTGTTGCATGCAATTATGGAGTGCAGGGTAGCAGCTGAGGCGTGAAGGGAGTCAAAACTCGTCCCTTCCATGGCGGAACAGCATTGGGATAATGCAAAGTAATGGTTGCTTGACATGTTACGGGCAGCAGACACACCAAGGTGGGAAAGATTCCTAACTCTTTATCTTTGGCTATGAGGAAGTATTAAATAACGTGCACAGGACAGGCAAAGATATAGCACTGTTTGCCAATGGGTACTTGGAGTCTTGTCATTAGGCACAGGATAAACAGGAAACTCATGCCCCTTTGGAGTTTACAAAATGGAAAAAACCAGCCCTTAATATTGTCAAAATAAACTTTGATGCTGCCCTTAATGTTGGGAGGGTATTGCAGGCGTAGGTGTTGTTGCTAGAAATCATCAAGGGTATTTAGGTGCTGGGAGCCATGCACAGGCAAATCCGTTTCTGCAAGAACCCTGTCACGAAGTTGAAGATTTGTCCCTCAATGGGACCCCGTTTAATGAGGTAAAACAAAGGCTACCAACTTTCTGGTCATGGGATATCTCGCATACCAAACGGGATGCAAATAAGGCAGCACACCTGTTTGCCAAGAGGCTTTGACAGTACCTGAGACAGTTTACTGGATTGATAAGGGTCCAACTTTTATCAATATAATTGTCGAAAAGGATAACTTATGATCCAGTAATAAATTTCCTTCTTTCAAAAAAAAAAAAAAAAAAAAAAAAAAAAAACCCTCCTCCATATTTATATAATTTTTATAAGTAAAAGTTAAATTAGAAAAATATTATTTTGTGTTAATATTTTAACATTATGAATATTTTAAAATTAAAATTAAATAATTTTTATTATTTATTATAAAAATAACTTAATCGGATAAAATCAGGCACTAAATTAAAAATCCATTCCAAGCCCAATGCGTTTTCATAACCGTGAACCCGAGCTGATACCCCAATCTTTAAACACCTGCATTCTGACATTATTCCATGTACGTTTTAGAAAGATAAAAAGAGATAGATGTTCAAACTTTTTTCTTTTTTTTTTTTTTTTAGGAAAAGGTAGCTTTCCATTAGTCAAGAAAAGCCAGTACAATTTACAATCCAATAAAATGATACACGTACCAATATCATGACATTTCTCCATCCAATGTGTCTCTCCATATCCATTCTTCATCTCGTAGAAAGCCATTCTTTTGCTAGCCTAAAATCTTGTATATATATTAAAATACTCGAGTTCAAGCTTGATTCAAAAATTAAAACTTAAAACTAAATTTAAATTCGATTGAGTATTATTTTTCTAATCTAAATTCTATTCAAAGTATAGCTTGAACTTGAATTCATTCAAATCATAATAAAAAAATTTTAAATTAAATTAAGATATTAGAATAAAAGAGAAATCATCATGTCTAAGAAAAAACTCACCAAATCTAATTTTTTTCATTAAGCAAAAGCATCAAAACTAATCAAATTCAACAATCAAGAATCAAAATTTGATTCCAAATGAAACAAAATACTAACTTTCTTAAAGTAAAGATAGGAAATTGTGAATTGATCCATTATAACTACAATAACAACAACCAAACTCATAAATTAGATTCTTCTTAAAAGAAAATTTCAATTAAAACCTACAAATGTAATAATAAAAAACAAGCATAAAAGGGAAAAAAACTTACTAGGTTCCAGTCGAACATGAAATGGGTAACTAGATTTAAGAAAAAAATGCTTTGATTTTTTTCTTACTAAAAAACCAAAAGGAAGAAAGAAAAGGAGTGAAAGGGAGAAACGATATGCTTTTAAAAAATATATTTTTTTATGATTTTTTTTTCTTTTACAATATGACATTTTAAGAGAAAGAGAAGGAAAAAATAGTATAAGGCCTTCAGGAAGTTGAGGGAGAAACAACAATAGATGGGGTTTTAGGTTAGAATTAGATTTATATATACATATTCAAGGCTAAAATCATAATTTCATAATTAAAAATAAAATTTGATTATACTCGCGAGTTGCTCCAATAAAATATTAAAATGTTCGAATTTGATTCATTTAATAAGTTGAATTACTCGAACTCCACTTGATAATAACCAAACCAAATTCAACTTTTATTCGAATCAAATCCAAATAGTTTATGAGTACATGTGTATCATTTAAACCCCTACGCTAAATTATGTTGAATTATTATCTTTTATGTAAATTGTTAAAGGCATTTAATGGTAAAAAAGGTATAGTGATCTTTTTCTCTCTTAAAAGCTTTCAGCTGACAATCAAGGGTATTTTTGTCATTTGTTTCGACTTGATATGTCAAATTGGTCTGACATACTCAATGCCACATCAGCTCAACATTGTCCTGATTATCCCCTATTGCTCACCTATACATATAAAGGTTCAAGCACCACTAAAGTAAGTTGATCCTAGTCCTATTTCTTCCTTCCTACTTCGTTTCTAACCTTATTCTACCTATCTTGCTCGATGGAGTACAAATGTTAGGAACACACCCTGTTGTAAATTCTTATTGCCTTTCTCTCTTTTTTTTTTTATTTTAGGAATGCCTTGAGGTCAAAGCTTCTCAAACATTTGGCATGGCAAGTAAGGGAGCTTTTTTCGCTCATTTGCCTAGTATAAAACAATGTTACAAGGAAAAGAACCTTAGAGGAAAGAGAGATTGTCGTCCCAGTTGGATCAGAAACCCACCATAGCTAACTTTTTGTCCGACTTGCCCAACCATAAGCGAGATCGACCATGAAACAATTTCAAGCCTTAATCGAACAGATATAGGCCATCCAGCAAATGTTACAAACCATCACCTTGTTGTAAATTTTTACTGCCCTTCTCTTTTTTTTTTTTTTTTTAGGAATGCCTTGAGGTTAGAGCTTCTCAAACATTTGGCATGCCAAGTAAGAGAGCTTTTTTCGCTCATTAACCTAGTATAAAGCAATGTTACTAAGGAAGAGAACCTTAGAGGAAAGAGAGATGGCCGTCCCAGTTGGATCAGAAACCCACCATAGCCAACTTTTTGTTTGACTTGCCTAACCATAAGCGAGATCGACCATAAAACAATTTCAAGCCTTGATCGAATAGATATAGGCCATCAAGCAAATGTTACAAACCATAATCTCACTATAAGTTTTAAAAGTGCTTGACTTAATCACTCATGGTCAAAGAGCCATTGTTAGACAACCGAGCTATGAAAAGGTGAAAGCCTGCTTGGCCTCTAAAAAAGAAGAGCACACCACCCAGTCCATTAATACCCTGACCACAACTCAACATATGCTACGACCTAAAAATCCAAACAAACCCTGAACCCTAACCAAACAAAAATTTAGAAGTTTAAATGCAAGCCATGAAAAAAAAGCTAAAAATAAAACTAGTAGCCTTTAAGGATAAGCTCAAGTTCCTAGAACCTCATTCTTCACTAAAAGAATTGATAAAACCATGCCTTTTAAAGGTTTAAAATACGGACTTTGAAAACATATGATGGTATTTCTGATCCTTCTGATCATTTGAAACATTATAGGACTAACATTATGATGCAAGGCCTGAATAAAACTTTGATGTGCAAAGGCTTGGCTACCACATTGAAGGCATAGCTCAATCTTAGTACAGCAGTCTAGAACCAAGGTCAATCATGATGTTCAAGAAGCTTAGCCACTTTTTTTTCTCAATTTATCAATAGTCAAAAAGCGAAAAAAATAACTTTGAGCTTGATGCCAATCCACCAAGGTTAAAATGAATCTTTGAAGAGCTACATTATGTGTTTTAACACAAAAGCTTTATAGGTTAAAGATCTGGAGCAAACAATCACTATAACTAACTTGACCAACTGACTCAATGATAAAGAGTACCACACAAAGCTAACTTTGTCACTAGAAACACCCAAAACTCTAGTTGGCATTTTACTGATAATTAAAAAGTACATAAATGCTAAAGTTATAATGAAAACTAACTAAGTGAGAGAGGCTCATCCCTTTCTTCAATAGTGAGGTAAGAAAGGCTCATTCTTTCTCTTCGATTGTAAAAAAAGTAAAAATTTCTATGATCCTCTCACAAGAGGAAGACAACATAAAGCTAAAAGCTCAAGTGG